TATATATATATATATATATATATATATATATATATATATATATATATATATATATATATATGTATATTGTGTGGGGAGGGGAATGATAGATATACATATCTATTTGTATATCTCTATATGTACATAGATCTATGTCTCTTTCTCTCTCTATATATATATTTATATATATCTATACATATGTGTATATGTATAGACATCTATATACATGCATATACACCCTCTATTTACATCTGTTTTTGTTTGTTGTTATCTTTAATATATTAAAAAAGTTTTGGGTTTTTGTATTTGTTTATATAAAGAGAGAGAGAGAGGAGGTTGCATATGTGTATCGTTTGCTGCTGCTGCTGCTGCTGCTGCTGCTGCTGCTGGTGTGTTCATATAGGGGTGGTGTTTTTGGTGTGTATATATTTCTGTTGCTGCTGAGGAAATAAAAAACTTATTTATTTTATTTTATTTAATATTTAAAAGTATTTATCCTTTTTTTTCTTCTTTTTCTTCTGTAGATGCATGGGGTGTATAGGGACCTAGCAACAAGCCGACAGGCGGCAGCGCCGATGAGGCCAGCTGCTGCTGCTGCTGCTGCTGCTGCTGCTGCTGCTGCTGCTGCTGCTGCTGCTGCTGCTGCTGGGGTGTATGGAGTGAATTTTGTTGGTTTATGTGTGTATATTTACATAATAAATAGTTTATTGAGTTTCCTTTGATGTTTTTTTTACATTTTTTCCGAAGAAGTGCAGCAGGTGGCCGTCCATTGGTAGGTGTAGCTGCAGCAGCCTTCGTCGCCGCGCCTGTTTCTGCTGTTCTTTGGCCGTTTTCTTTCGTGTTTGTATTTATTTTTTTGTATTTTTTAATTTAATTTAATTTATTTCCATATATTTGACTCATTTTCTAGAGATTTTGACTCAATAAGAGCCTACAAGCGCACAGAGCCAGCCGCCCCTCTCTGTACAGCAGCGAGCTGGGTGACCCTGCCAGCAGCAGCGCCTTCTGCTGCTTGTTGCGGTGTACATACACCTCAATATATATTATATTTTGTTTATAAAATATATTTATTACAGATAAAACTTCAGTGGTAGTGATGATGCTGCAGTTTGTTTTGTCTCTTCTCCGCCTTCTGCGTAGCCTGCTCCTGTTGCTGCCGTCTATGAATCTGCTGCTGCTGCAGCTGCTGCTGCAACTCCTGCTGCTGCTGCTGCTGCTGCTGTTTTTGCTGCAGGTATTCTTATTCCCTCGTAGTTCAGCGCCACGCAGCTGCGGTCTTCTGGCGGCTTGAGCTGTACACCATCGAGACGCCGTTGCCGAAGGCATTGCAGCAGCAGCAGCAGCAGCAGCGCCTCCTGCAGCAGCAGCAGCAGCAGCAGCAGCAGCAGCAATTATATCAGCAGCAGCATTCTCCTCATACAAAGATACATACAGCGGCCCCTGGCTCCTGTGTCTCCCCCCTGTCGATCCCCCCCCCCGCAGGCTCTCCTGCTGCAGCAGCAGCAGCAGCAGCAGCAGCAGCAGCAGATAAACGCAGCAGCTTTGCTTCTGCTGTTCTCCTCTCGCTGCACTCAAAAGGCTTCGCCAGAGAAGCAGGAAGAGCCCTCGAGACCACCGGCATCCATCGCCTGCAGACCTTGGCACGTACACCGTAAA